ACGTCTACTTGAGGGAGAAATACCTGCAGTTCATTTGGTCCTGATCAGTGTGATTCATGGGAGGCAGCTGCCTCCTAAAAGGGCATTTCCTGTGCTTCAAGGATTCTCACTAGCTCCCAGTCCAAGGGATTGCCTGCAACACATAAGGCTGAACTATTTTGGTACCTGGCGAGCGTCTCTGGGTGTATCGTGGTGGTTGTGTGGCCGCAGCCAGCAGTCTGCAAGAGGAACAGAGGGAAGTGTTCAGATCTTGCAGAGTTTCAGCCCTGGAGGCACTGCACAGAGCTGCTATTGCTTGCAAAGTGGCCAGGTAAAAGGGCGTATTCGAGTGAGCTGTGGCTAGAGGAAGAGTTATTAATTGCAACCGTAGGAGTAGTTGGCAGCCTCAGTGGCTGATAGTCTTCCTCAGCCTCAGGTGAGGTTGGCGTCTTTAGGTACACAGAGCTCTGGCAGGGTGCATATGAAGGGCTTATCCATGGACCAAAGCATGCCACTGATAGAAAAATTCCCTTGGTCATGGGCTACTGGAATTGGTCAGCACACAGACAGATATCTGAGTATATGCTAAAGCTCAGCCTACTGCTGTAGTGGCCACAGGCTACCTGAAGTTGTCAGTTTTGGGAGAGCTGCAGCAGAGGAGGGAGCTGGTGGTTCCCACGCAGACCCTGCTGCAGTTTTTTCTTGAGGTTTCATAACAGAATTAAGCAATTTGTGTCACGTGTTGTCATGGAGACCATAAATCACTGTCATGCTGGCTTTCTCTGTCAGAGCGCCAGTGTCTTTAATTGCACTAACGTCCCCTGCAGATCCAGGGCTTGGTTCTGAGCTCATTTACCTGCTATAATGACTTTGCCCTGGGAGCTCTGCCCCCAGGAGAGCAGAGCTAGAACCAGGGGTAGGGCTGCTTGCGTATTGAATGTCAAATATCTGGGGTCGATTCTGTTATTGACGTGTGTGGACACACCTCTGCTCAGCTGAACAGAAATTACAAAGATTTACATAAGCTGAGATCTGTCCTACTTGCATTCAGGGCAAGTTTTGCACCGAGGATGGGGATTTGATACACTACCTACATGTTGTAGTGACCTGTTGCGGCTTGGTGGTCCAGTCACACAAGCTAAGTTGAATTTCTCCATCCTTATTGTTTTTATATAACTTTGCTGCTCCAAGGGGATAGCTCAGCCCTTCCACTCCATCCCCATGTCAGACAGGTAAATGGGGTTTTACGCACTTTGTTCTGCCTCCATAAAAAAATATTTTTGCAGAGGAAAAATCAGCCTCAGTTACACTCCTGGGTAAGCATTTCTTTTTTCCTTGCCATCTGCCCCAGAAGTAGCCACATTTCTGACTGTCTCAGCATTACTGGCTTGTGCTGTCAAGACACAGATCTTGCCAGTGTGTATGAATAGAGTGGTGTAAATCAGCCTCCTTCCAGTGACTTAACCAGAGCCCTGACAGCATTCATCAGCATGGGGGATGGATCCTTCTCTTGGCTCCTTCAAAATAAACAACTATATAAATTGTAAGATGTTTATCATCAGAGCTTATTAGCCTATTACCACCTGCTGCTTTGTATTCAGACAACAGATTAAAAAGTCTGTGCTTCGTTGTTCTCAGTCAGATCTACAGCAAACACGCTTATTCTTGTTCCCATCTGAGGAGGACTGTGTCAGTACTCTTGCCAAAAACACATGAAAATCAGCCCAAGTCTTGTGCACTTGCCCGTAGCGACGTAACCAGCCGGCACGGAAGCTCCGCACACCTTTGGGAGTGTTTAATGTTTTCCAGGAGGTGGCATATGTTGTTTTTTAAGGTTTGATTTATTGGCTGGTTTAGATGATGATAATCTTGTTAAGGCATGAGCTTTGGTTATCAGGGCAGGTGGAGGTGTAGAAGGATTGAAGTACTTGGCTTTTAGAAGATTTTGCATAGCTGCATGTTGGGAGCATGGGACCTGCCATCTCAGTAGGGGAAGTGTTTCCATGAGCAGTAGGAACAGCCCTGCAGAAACATCTAAACTTGCTGCTTTTTGACACCTATTAGAAGTGTTTGTCTGCTCGTGCTAAAATATGGGTATTTGTGCTCAACAAACCAGCCTGCAGTTCTTGATTTTCTTTTCTTTTTTTTTTTCTTTTTTTTTTCTTCCCAGTTCAGTTCTTGCTGTTCTTCCCAGGCTACATCACGCTCAGTCTGGAAGCTTAGATGTCCAGTATGACCAAACTTCTGGAAACGACAGGGAGCAATTGCCCTGATTCAGCCCATAAGCGTGTTGGGCAGAGTCACAGTTTGTACAATGGGCTAAACATTATCGTAGTACTTTGGGGAGCATTTCATGCAAGATAAGCTTGAGGCCTCTTAGGAGTGAGTTAAAGGGGCTGGTACAAAATGTCAATGAGCAGTAGCTTGTGGTTTTGTGATGAAGTCAAGGATCGTGCACAAATGGAGTATGGTTTTCACATCGGCAGCCTGTCCCTCGCCATGTCGGTAGCAATTGGTCTTTCACACTGCCCAGCCGGAGCCACTCCGCCGTGTATAGAAGGATGGGGTGAAGTCTTGGCCACAGGCAAAGCAAAAAATTGTTATCAAATGTGTTGAGGGGGCAGGGTTTTAGCCAGGGACTCAGAACAGAGCCTGTTGGGATCGTCTGACCCAAGCAAGATTGCACAGAAAGAAAACTTGTTCTTCAAAGCAGAAATGAGAAATTTAGTTGAAATTTGTAGGTTTCTATGCAGCCAAGCATGCTGCTTGCTGATGTATGATCTTGTAAATATGAGAAAGTTGATTAGTGTCCCAGAAATGGGGATAAGAAACTTTTCCTTCGGATTATGGTGAAGAACTGCAGTAAGACTGGTTGAGATCTCAGCTGATGCTTGGTCTCCTTCTCCTCACCCAGCAGCTGTTGCTTGCAGTGGAGGCAAGAAACAGCTCAAAGTATTTCTCAAGAAATTCTTGAGAGCAGCAAGAATTTCCTACAAAGGTAGTTTAGAAACAAGCAGACTTGATCATGTTTCTTCTTGCTCTGAAAATTTTGGCTTGTCTCAACTTGGACAAGAGGCCTTTGCAGTTCTTACTATCCTCAGCGATCTCACCTCTGTGATCCCCCTCTCTCTCCCTCTTACAGGGTTTTCTTTTTAGAGGAGAAATTAAGACAGTTCCTATACATTTGGTTCAAGGAGAGATGTCCAGCACATTACCTTAATTAGAGGTCAAGGCATTTAACCTGCACAACATACAGATTATGCATATGGGAAGTTATTCCTGTGTTTGCAGAAGTCTCTTAAGTGCAAGCTGTACCTTGTCGTCATACATAATGTGGTGGGGAGGCTGAAGGAGAGATTCCGTCATTGAAAAAATGGAGAGTTTTTCTCTTTTGGCATTGAGCTGTGACTGTAGGTGGGAATGTAACTCCTAGAGCTGTGTCCTGCTATCATTAGTTGGATTATGGTGTGGTGATCAAAGGCAAGAAGTATCAAAGAAACCTTGTTCTCATGCCCTCCTTGTAGAGGGAAAAAGCATAGGGTGAATCACTCAAGTGTCACCATCTTTGGGCATTGCTATGTTTTGAATGGTGCTCTCATAGCATGCCTCAAGTTGCCTGCTAAGACTGAATGTTTGGGGGGTTATATTTTAGATTATGGCTCAATTTCCACAGTTGCTTTGGTCTGAGGATCCCCCTCAGCCAGACAGTGCCTGCAGCCTGAAGTGCATAAGCAAAACCAAAATGGATGGGAGCAGGTGCCTGCGGAACGTGTCACCACAGCTGCTCCCACGCTGGACCACTTGCGTCAAGAAAACTGATACCAAGGAAATCAGCTGTCCTCTCTGGAGCCTTATCATTAGGATGAATTTTTTTATTTGTATATTTATTTTTAATTGTCTGAAAAACCTCCCTGGAATTGCAGTGGTCATTCAAATCTAGGAGGTGGCCACCTCTTTCCCATGTGATTTGAATGAGCATTGCTGCAGCCCATGGGCAGGTGGAGGGCACTGTCCTCTGTAGCATAATGTACTAAACTGGCTTCTTCTTAAATAAGCAGTAACTGCTGTTGAGTGTTGAAGTGGGCTGTTCAGCAATGGCTGCCTCTTCTCATTTCTCCACACATGTGTGCCACTGCCCAGTTGCAGCCAGAGAATTTTTTTCTTCTTTCTTTTAAGAGTCAGTTCCTCTGTGGCTCACCCGAGATCTGGGGAGCGGTGTGACTGCACTGCAGGGGAAACTGCTCTCCAGGCTGTGTCATAGCCACAGAAACCAGCCTTCCTGCTGCAGCAGGGTCATGTTTTGGGGTGTTTTGGTTTGGTTTTGTTTGGTTGGAGTTTTTGGTTGGAGTTTTTTTTTTTTTTAAAAAAGAAAAGGCAAAACAAAAAAACACCTGTCATTCATAGCCTGCTGCCTTGTTGGTTTTATTTCTCAAACTTGAAAATGAGGGAGAGGAAAGCAGCTAAATGCATTTTTGTCTGCCAGCAGAGCCAGGATTGGACCTTTAACTCCATCCATCACCACTGGTTCTGCCTGCAGATCTGGCCCCAGGATGTAACGCACCATTTAATGTTTGCTGTGCCTCGGGTTAAGCACTGAAGAACAGCACAGCTATGGCTCATCAATGGATTTGGTCACTGTCAACTGGAAATTATCTGGGACTAGACAGCTGTGCTGAGCCAGGGTGATTTTTGGTATGGCCACGTGAGCCCAGTCCTTATAGGACTCAGATACTCAGATGATAAAAGTTTTGCGTGTGCATTTGGTGGCAATTAGTGATCCTTGTAGATGAGGCAGGAGTAAACAAGCCACAGCGGTGGGGTTGTCTGCACTTCTAAGGGATAAGTCTGATTTGTGGTGTATCTGTTGGAGAGGGTAGATGCTGCTGCTCCTGTCCGAAAGGACTTTGGATGCCAGTGCTGCCTTCATCCTCACTTTTTGGGCATCAGGTAAAAGCTGCCTTGTGCTTGTTGCCCTCTTTTTGTTGCTAACAAGTGATCGGAGATGATCTCTTTCTCCAGCAGGTTTAGCACACTGGAAGCATGGCTACGAGTGCTGTTCCCAGCGAAAACCTCCCCACGTACAAGCTGGTGGTGGTTGGAGATGGTGGCGTGGGGAAGAGCGCTCTCACCATTCAGTTTTTCCAGAAGATTTTTGTGCCAGACTATGACCCAACTATTGAAGACTCCTACCTGAAGCACACAGAAATAGACGGGCAATGGGCAATTCTTGATGGTATGCAAGCTACTCTCGTGGTCCCCTTTCCCTTCTAGCTGAGCATATGTGCAAATAGACCTCAATGTCTCCCACAGCGTGTTGTGCCTTTGTGTCCCTCCTACTCCACTGTGGGCTACCAGGAATTTTGAGTGCAAACTGGCCTGTGAGCTGTGGCACATGGTCTGCAGCTGATCTCCAGCAAAGCTTCTGCTTCCAGTTGCGTTGATTCCAATTCTGCACAAAAATGTTTCTTGACCCTTAGATCATCATAGACATTTGGGGTAGGCTTCTATGAAGGGTGAATTATAGCACTGTGAGGTGGCTATTGCTAATGATACTTCATTGTGGTTAGGCTCATCCCCTGGGAAATAACAGTGAGTGGGTAACTGAATGAGGGTTAGAACCAGAAAGAACATTTAATCAAAACTGTCAGCCATCGACAGTGAAGAATTGTAACACCTCTTAACTGCCATCATTCAGGTGTGATATTTTCATATCTAGTTACCTGTTTCATTTAAATATGGGTAGGGTACCAGCCTGGAGAGCTGCTGTAACCAAGATCTTTCAGTTCTTTGAAGGAAAAGCTTATTTAAAAAACCAAAAAACCCAAACAAATAAACAAATTAAGACCAAACAAAAAAACAGCCAACCCCGAAGAAAACCAAAACAACAAAAAAAATCTTAATTCTGCAGGTGAGGAAAATTACCTAAAGCTAAAACTTATTAGTTTGTGCTGCAAGAGAGAGACTGACCACAGCCATAAGGGGAATCCTGCTGTTAAATGTTGAAAGTTTAATTTGGCCTGATAAAATAATTAGGTAGTACATAAAAGCAAACAAATATTTTGTCTTTATTACCCAAGTGCATGTATGTGGCCACTAACACAACTGAACTAAATTTAACCTCACTTGTGTCGTGTTCCTACCTCCACCCTCTTCTGAAGGCATTCAGGATCTTTGATATTTCTGCGTATGTATCATTGGGGTGTGGGGACAGAAAAATGGGGGATTGGCGTGAGTGGTGGAACGTGGAGGCTGGTGAGGTTTGCTGTGAAGACTGTAAGCTTGATCTGGAGACTTCAGATCTTAGTTGCACTCTTCAAGATTTATCAGATACAATATAGTGAGTACAAATAGCCCCAGGGTCCTTAAAGAACAGCCTTTACTCAATATTTAAAAATAAACCAAATTTGCACGTTTAAATATGTTAGTTGTTGATAGCTGATATGAGGGAATATTTGTGAAATTGGTGCCCAAATGTGTCTCTTGTCACCTGCATCAGAGATACCTGCTCTCAATTAACCATCACATAATGTACCTGTGCACCTTTATTTTCAAAATGTCAGTGTTGTATAAAAGAAAAATACAATTCTGCTGTAAATTAAATCCATTCTTTCTTCTTAGTCTGGAATTCAGCCCTCTAAAACAAGCAACGTTTATCTTTGCTGGGATGCCCCATGTTCTGATCTAACAGTGCCAGCTGCTGTGCCCATCGATGTTGGCTGAAACAGGCTGTTTTTTGTAAATTATTTGAAAGTAGAAAAGGCACATTTCACTGAATATTTGGAATTTTTGTTTATCCAAAAAAAGCAAAAAAACCCTGACCTGGGGTGGGAATGAGTGGGGAAAGAGGTTGTTCTCCAACAAGCAGAACCTTAACCCTTTGTTTTAATGAAAAAGCCTTTCTTTTGCTCAGATGGAGGTCAGTGGCTGTACTCAGGCTGAACAGAATCACCTGTGGCCTTGAATGGCATGTTGGGAATCCCTGACTTTCAGAGCTCCTGGGCCCACAGATGCCTTGCAGCCACAGAAGTGAAACTGCAGCTTCTCCTTCTCTTTCCTACTGCTTGAGATTTTGAAGAATCAGAATTTTGGAAGAAAGACAGTGTTCTTGCTTGGAAAAGCATGTGAGCTTTTACCATCTGCCCAGTACAAACACAGCATAAAGTTGGTTTGGGTCTAGGCCATTCTCAGATGTCACCATATACTTTGACAGATGCTCTTGCTGTGGTTACGTGTGGTTGCATGAATCACTTACGGTATAAAATTAAGGACAAACATTATAGGAAGGGTAAAGATGCATCATGATAAATTCTAGACTTTCCAGTTGTCCTTTATGACCAAATCCTTTACAAGCTGATGTTTCTTGCAGTGCTTGTGGGGAGAAGAAGCTGCCCACCCCCAAAATAGGAACTAGTTTTAGAAGATGAGACTACCAAGTGAACATATAACATGAGGGGCTCCCCAAGTTTCTAAGTTTGCAGAAATAGTTATTAAAAAAAAATAAACAAAACATTGGCAATAACTTAATTTAAAAAAAAAAAAAAACAACAACAAAAAACAGAAAGAAAGAAAACACAGCCCACCTTCTTCCAGGCTGCTGCCTGAGCAATTCTGTACAAAGCAGCTCTAGCATTTGGTATCTGCACCAGCATTCAAAAAAAAACAACAAAAAACCCCACAACTTGTGCTAGCCAGCTTGCATAAAACATTTGGCTTCCCTCCATGAAGACCTCCACCCGCATTTATTCACTAGCGCTAACTGGCAGTGTGACGAAATGTTTGGCTTGCATTTTCTTCCTTTGCTGAAATCTCTCACTGAAAGTAGGCTTCAATGGAATAGGCTTTTATTTCAGATTTTAGACCTTGGAGCCAAATCTCCATTCAAACTCTTATTTTACATATTTGCTCTCTGTCTTGGGCATGTCTCTCTGTCTATTTTCTTACCAAATAAGAGTCTGTGATAATTCCCTGCCTCCCAAAAGATTGTGGGGCCCATGCTTGATGTGTTCAAATCCAACACTACAGAAAAATAATTTATTGTTGGCCTTACGCCAGCTTTGTAAGACCATCAGTGCAGTGTTTGGAGGACAAGTGTTGCAGAGTGGAACAGGGAACTTAACCTGAATAAGGGATGCAAAGGCAATTTGTGGCTAGCCCATTTTTTTTTCAGTTACTGCCACCCCAATGAGGCTTTAAGATCGGCCTCCAATTTTTTCTGCATATGTTATCTTAATTTGTTCCCTGCTGTTCATACTGAAATCGGCACAGTGACGTGCTTGGTTAAATGCATTCACACGCAGGTGCCGTTTAGACACATCAGGTCAGAATTAAGTGGGGGCCAGGGTTAATCTGCTTTGATTAGCTGTTGCTCCAGTTGAGTTGCTATCATTTATTTTGTACGCTCCTTTCTGTGTGCAGGCTAACTTAGCAATTAGCAGAGGATTTCTTTTGGCATGGCTGTGAAATGCTGGTCTGGAGTTATTAATCTGGGCATGAAGCCGAAGTGGAATACCTTACCATGGCAAAAAATTTCCAATGGTTCAAAATTCCTTATGGCTCATAAACCACACATAGATAAAAAGGTGGTGAGGATAGGAAGAGGTGGCCACAAGCACATGGCTTGGATGTGTTGATGAATGGAGATAAACCCTTAGCTGTCAATAGGTCTGTGCCAGTTGGTACCAGCAAAGCAAGGAATTGTGCCTGTGTGTTGGGTGAAAGGAGGCTGTGGTCTCCCTCCTCTTCCCTTTCCTTCCCCTGGTATGGTTTAGATGAAACTCTCACTGACTGTAAGTTGTCTTCCTACTCCTGCTTTTTAGTTTTCCTTTTTATTTCTCTTCTTCCCAAGTCTCCCTCTCACCCCCTGGGTGCCCTTGCGTTGGGCTGGACCTGCACAGCCCTGGTGTGCACCCCCGTGCAGTAACACCAGGCATCGTTCCTTCCCCCAGGCTCCATCTCTGCCCTTTCCACTCATGTCTCCCATGCATCCCATTTTGACGAGGGTTTTTGCTGATCGCAATCCCAGGACAAGCTGTCTGCTTTTCTCCTCAGGAAGCTTGGGAACAATTCAGCCAGGAGGCCAGAGGGAGATCAAAGGTCACTTCAGACTTGCAGGCAGAAGGGTTGGTTTGCGGATTGCTTTATTTTTTTTGCTTAAACTTTGGGTAGCATCATTGAAAGAATTAAAATTCAAATTAAGTTTGTATTTTCATTCTTTTATTTGTGTGTACAGTATTTTCTCTCCTTTAGTTGCTGGGATTTTGCAACTGTGAAAGAGGATTTTTTTTGTCTTGGGTTGTGGGGATTTTTTTTCCTGCCAGGAAAATTTTGATGTTGCAACATGGAAAACACAAGGCTTTGAATACTTGCCCTTTGTTAAAGAAAGACCTCCTTTAAGGCCTTGCATCTTTATTCTGTTTGTTGATGTGGAACCCTTTCTTCTGAAGGCCCCTCTTATTGCTTAAAGAAAGGGCAAGAATTCAAGTACTTGGTTTTCCATGTTATAACATCTGTGTATTTAGTTAGGGCACAGAAGAAGGGTTCATAAAAGCCCCAGTGTTTCCTCATTGCTTGTTTTTCCCTGAGGAAAGCTCTCATGCTGGAGGCAGTGTGGCTGTATCTGAGAAGGAGCAGAAGCAGCACAGTGACCAAGTGAAGCATCTGCCTTGCCTTGCCTTGCCTTGCTCACAGCACGGGCACCTCATACCTCTTTGGGGTGACTGGAGGTGCAGGAATACAGACTCTAAGCCATGGCCCCTGCACTCTGTCTGCTCAGTGCCCAGAATACTAATTCCTCAGCTGAAGCCAATGTCTGATAGGGGCTGCCCTTCTCTTACCATGCTGCTGATGGAAGAAAGACTAAGACTGTGGGGTTGGCTTTCCTCAGACGCTTTGGTTTGACTTGTCAATTCAAGTTAAGTTTTCCTTTGGGCTTGGCTACCAAGCAGCAGGGCAGCTGGGGATGGAGTTTCTCTCTGGCCCCACATTTTGAAGCAGAGTTGCAGTGCCAAGAGGAAAGCTCTCCAGGCTTGGAGAGAGAAGCACCATGAGGAGTCCAGCTCTGTAACCTGTGGTCCTCTGACAGTGCCACATTCCCAGTTCTACTCTTTGCTCCCAGGACTTTTTCTGTATTCCATATTAAGACATCAAAGAAGCAGAAAACACCTGGAGTCAGACTCCTTTGCACTGTTCCTCTCCCTGGTGCTGTGAACCTGGGTTCCTAGCTTCTTGCTGACCCATCCAGCCCCTTAAAGGCTTGCACATGTGCTGCACATAACCTAGCTAAAGGGATTTCACTTGATACTGCTTGCAGAAATCAAGTTGTACACATTGTGCTTGCCTTTCTGAGCATGAGATCAAGGTAGGCACAAATAATTGCATCCTGTCCCTGAGCTTCATCGTGTGCAGCCACTCTTCTGGATGCTGGAGGGCAAAGGCACTCAAAGAGCTGCGTTGACCTGCTTTCAGGACCATCTGCAGCAGTGTGCAATCACTGCTTGGAACAGGCTGCTGGTGTCTGATTCAGGCAGTGAAACCCAGGGGCTGGAGGATAGAAAATGGGTTTAACCTGCCTGTCTCGTCATCTTTGGCCCCTCCAGATGCCATGGACAGCGGAGAAACTCTCTTCAGTTGAACTATAAACCTAGCTGCCCAGCAATGTAAAGATAAAGACGTAGGAGGGATTTTTGCCTAGGTGTGAAAAGAGGCGCGCACCTGCACAACCAGATGTGAGCTCCCCGAAGGCTGTGTTTGAATCTGAACTGAATCCAGCCTAGGCTCTAGAAAAAGCAATGCTGTGACTTAGATTTCATAGTATATCTCTGCCCTTGGCTTAGATTTGCATGCCTGTGATAGGCACTCAGAGCACTGTCAGTTACTCAGACGTTGCCATATAAAATGCCTGGAAGCACCAAGTGCTGTTTTGGGCCACAAATTCCTGTATGTTCCTCGGCTCCTGTGTCGGAAGTGCTCTCTGAGCAGCCACACTCTTGCCTAACCCATCAGGATTCACAGGAAAATGGTGTGGAGAGCTCTAAGGGGGCAGGATTCAATTAGCAAGGAGTTCATCATAACAGCTGGGGTCACATCCCCTGGAAAGCAGAAAAGGCTGTCTTTTTACTCGGCAACCTCTTACCTGCAAAGCAGGAGACCTCCCTGCTGGGCTCTCACAGCCTAATTGCTCTTAGTTTAGTCTCCAGCTGATTGTATAATAGCTCTGTAAATTGGCTTTGCCTTCTTTGGATGTCTGTTCCTATGTCAGACATAGTTCTTGGCTTCTCTCTTCTCGATCGTTACCCAAATGCTCCTCCTTGCTTCTTCTTGGGTCATGTTTGTGGGTACTTCACCAAGATTGCTGTTGGAAGTCCCTGACCATGCACTGCCCAGCCTATGAATATGATTTCAGTTCTTGGAAGAATGAGGTAGGGGAAACCTGCTGTGCTTTGGTCCAGCCTTGTTTCCACATTGACTTTTATGCACTGACAGTGGAGCAACTGCCAGTAAGAGGCAAATGCTGTTTTAAAGTGTACCAGGGGAAAAGAGAGGTCACAGTTCTTCTCTGTTTATGATTATTTCTATGTCTTCTGGCATCCCGTTTGCAGAAATGGGAATTTTTTAAAAAAGTGAATGCTGGCTAACATCCTGAATCTCCTCAGTCCTTTGGGAAGCCAGTCAAATCACCTTCCCTGATTCCCAAGGTTTCTCCTTGACACTTTCCCATTTCTGTAGGTAAGAGTCTTTTTATATACCAAGATTACACCAGAAGCAAAGCCACTTGCATCTATCCTTTTTTCAGTGCTGATGCTTTCCAGGATGTGGTCCCATCCTGCCTATGAAGGATCCAGATTGCACTTTCCTCTCTGTTTACAGTTCCTGTAGCACAGAAGTGTTAGGATGGGGGGGTTGTCTTTATGAAGAGCACATTTAAAGTTAAAACAAGGACTTTCTCATAACTTTGTATGAATAACCAATCTGAGATTAACCTTAACCTTCACTGCTGCATGTCTTTTACTTTCATTTCCAAAGTGCCATTTTAAATGCTGCCTGGACTTGCTCGCCTTTCTACGAATGCTGCAAGTGAATTCTCTTTAAATAGCAGCTGCTGACGCAGCAGCTCTGCCTGTGTTCAGTGTGATGCCATGGCCAAGATCTGGGCGAGGCAGGAGTGGCAGGACCACAGCCCTGTGCTGTCCCTCGGGTGTCCCCACAGCCACCCCCGGGTTTGTCCCCTGCCCTCTCACAGGGGATGGAAGGCCTTGGAGAGGCAGCAGCTAGGGGTGGGTTGATGGGTGTAAGAGCAGAGCTGGGTGCTCCTTGCGTTTCATGGGAGGTTTGCAAATGTGCCAGAGCAAGGGGAAGTCCCTAAGCAAATTACCATGCAGGATGTGGCACATCCATCTCCACCTTCCTGCCTGTGGCTTGTGCTCGGGCACCTGCCCTGTCTGGGGGGAAGGGATGGCAGGAGAGCCTGGACCCCTGCGAGAAGCTGTCCCACTCCACCAGAAACTGGGTATGTGTGTTGGTGAGGGGAAGGGAGTGTGTGTTTTTCTGTGTGTGTGGTGGCTGTCAGCCCTGCCCTGATACCAGGTCCAGCTGCTGCAGGAGTCAGATGAGGGCAGCCCAGCCTCTCCTTACAGGTTGGGCGGGTAGGAAGGATTAATTTCCTCTTCTGTCCTAGCCACGTGGTCCTGGCCTTATTCCATGGTAGCAGTTCTGCCCAGGGCATAGAAATTCACCAGCACATGCAGTGTCTTTGGGTTGTTTTTCTATTTTCTTCCTTTTTTTTTTTCCTTTTTGAACAGTCTTTAAGAACAGCCTGGATGTCTTTGAGCTGAGGCCCTTGTTTCCTAGATTTATAGAGGAGGAGCAGGGTAAAAGGCTGTGAAGAGACACCCATGACTTTCCAGCAAGCCTAAATCTCAGGGTCTCTGCAAGAGCCTAGAAGCTCTTTTCATCTTCAGGGCTCATGGAAACAGACATTCAGGACCAGCTAAGGCAGGAGAATGAATGAGGCTGAAGGCTTTAAAGGGCCTGCCATCACCAAGTAAGGTCTCCAGGTCCTGCAGCATAGCTGCCTTTCCTCTAGACGTACAGTGAAGGCGTGGGCTGGCTCTTGGGTTGTGCTGTGATGTGCAGCGTGTCTGCCTGTGGCCACCCATGCTGACTCAGCAAGTAACGCCAGCAGCAAAGTGGGCTTTATCCTGGCCCCATCTGGAAATCAGGCAGCCCAAGTGCTTACCCCTATAGAGAACATCTTGCTAGGACTGTGGGCCTGCTCAGACTAGAAAAACCCGTATCAAGCCCTGCTGCTCTGTCAGCAGTACGCTCCTGCCACAGTCTCCATCCGCTGATGCCCTGGGCTTTCCCCATCACTCGTGGGCAGCAGATGCTAACGCTGTGGCTGTACAGCAGAGGCGGAAACAGTTTTCCCACCCAGCCCTGTTGACAAGGATGTGAAAACATTCCCAGTTGTCATGAAGGTCCCACATTTGCCTCTAGAATACAACGATGCATTGGGACTGTGACTTCTGAGCAGCCAATGTGTTTTGAGCTCTCACCATGTTTGTACTAGTGTAGCCTAAGCTGATGAACTTCTCCTGTACCCTCCTCCTGACAGACAAAATCCTGGCTGTGTACGAAGCTGGGGCCCAGGAATTGGCATTAATGACGTGCATCAGTATGTGGTGTTTGCCCAGAAGGCTGGTGCAGCTTGCTCCACATGTGGTCCGTGATATAGTTGATGGGACACCCTGTGAGGCAGAGTGCTAGAGAACCAGTGAGTTATAATCACATTAGAGAAGAGGTTAATCTAGTGGGGAACAGCTTCTGGGTCGCTGCCACAGCTGGGGTGTTTTAGGGGATTTGAGCATAATTTAGGTGTTGTCAATACACAGAAACATGATTGCTATATAGTATATGCAAGTCACTTAAAGCTTTTCCACCTGTTCTAACTAGCTTTCATTATCAGCACACCACTTGGGACTGAATATTGAAGGAGAGTTCCTCAAGGCTGTATCATCTTGCTCTGAAAGCGCATAATTGTGTAGAAATAATATACAAGTACTAAGAAAAGGAAAATGTTTGTAGCTGTTACTCTGGGTTGTCTCCCAGCTCTGCTTCAGTTTGTAGATTGTCCTTGACATTTAAACCAGTCTTTACTTACTCTTCCAGTCTAAAGTTTTTCCATGTGGGGAACACAGAGAGCTGGGAGAGGGAAAGATGGAGAGCTCTGAAATGTTTTGAGCTATATCTTGCCAGAGGAGCAACTCCCCAGGTCAGTATTTGGTACTGGAAAAGAAAAGTAAAATCCACTTAGTCTTCTTCCCCTCCATCCGCTCCCAGCGTGGGCACACGGTGATGAGTGGGGTCTGGGAGTGGTTTTTGATTTGTAACAAGAAACCGCCTTGTCCCTCAGACTTGCTTTCACCAGATCTTGCAGTCTTTGAGAGGACTAAGCCCTGCAGAGGCAGAAAGGCCATGTAAGACATACAGCAGCGACAACAGGCACAAGTCCTCACAGTAACTGAAAACCTTCCATCTCTTCTCTCCTAGTTCTGGATACTGCGGGCCAAGAGGAGTTCAGCGCAATGCGGGAGCAGTACATGAGGACCGGAGATGGTTTCCTTATAGTCTACTCGGTGACAGACAAGGCTAGCTTTGAGCACGTGGACCGGTTCCACCAGCTGATCCTCAGAGTCAAGGACAGGTGGGTGCCATGGAGCCAGGTACTGCCTGACCCTGCTGCCCTGGACACCGTGCTGTGGGGGTGGTTGCTTGTCTCACCCTCACTTTCACCTCCTGGGTGTCCCGGGGCAAATCCTTGCGTGCTCTATGTGGGTTTGTAGACCTATATATGAGGAATAAGAAGTATTTTTCTTTTTCTGATAAGCATCTAGTGCTTTCAATGTGGAAAAGTTCAGTTTCACTCCATGAAAATGGGTCTGGAAAGGAGAAACTCCAGACAGAGCGGTCTGGCAGAGTAGTATGAAAAAGGGCAGACAACTTTGAAGGTAATGAGTTTGGCTCTGAAGAGGGAGAAGGATGCTCTGTGCACAGTGCAGACACTTTGGGAACACCAGCAGGGAGTCAGCAAGCATTCAGCCCTCATCCTTTTGTGTGTCCTGGCAGCATCCTGCTTTCCTTGGCTTCAGTTTGTGCCAAACAAACCTTAGAAGGTCCTGCATGATTTGGGGCTGTGACAAAGTGTCTTGAAGGGGAAAACACCTCACATTGGAAGGAGCTGTATTTCTTACAAGGGGTGTAATGCAGTTAATGCATCATGCTCTGCAGCAACCATTTTCAATGCATAAAATATCTGCATGACTGAGGAGAAAGCAAGAGAGTTCACCTGCTCCACTCTTTGTGCGTGCATGGGAGAAGGTAGCACTGAGAGCTTAATCGTGGAAAGCAAATGTGTCCTGACAGAGTGAGGGGAAGCTGCCAGGGCTTTATCTCCGAGATAACTCCCTTTTCCCATCCCGGTTCAAGAGGCAATGAATTCATCCTTGCTGGGTGGGGTGTGAATTAAGCCCTTATATATCTGCAGCTTTGAAACACTTAGTTTTTCCGTTCATAATGGCTTTTAATTATGAAAGTCATCAAGAAAAGCCACCAGAGGGTTCAGGCCTTGTTGCTGGCTTCCTTTCACAGCTCTGAATAACTTCCCCACAGGAAGGGTGGACTCGTATCATGTGAGGTTCACAGCTGACAGCTCTTCCAGTAAAGCATCCAAAGCAGAGCCCACAAGAGTGAAAAGTAAAGGAAAAACCACCCTTTGATTTCATCTAAATGAAGAAAAATGTCAGTCAGTCAGTCTGCCTCCCAGATAAGGACAGTCTTTTCTTCACTGCCCGCTCAGCTTGGGGCAAATTAAATCTGTTTCTGAAAGCTGAAGAAGACAGGACAGCGTTTCTTGTAACCTGCCCCCAAGCAATGTCAGTTTTATCTAATTTAACTTTGTGAAAATAAGGTGTGGTATTCATTGTTTTGCTCTGGACTGAAACTTTTACCCCTCCATACACTGTGCAAACACCAGGGCCGGCGTGTGAGAAGCAGGAAGTGAAAGAGGCTGGTGAGGTTGTTTTTGTTTCCCCACTCAACACCGCCGGAGCACAGCACACGAGGAGCTTAATCCTCCATCCAAAACCTGAGCTTGTTCAGAAATCCCAGCAGTTGGAGCAGCGTGAGTAAAGAAACTGTCCTGCCAGACCCGCAGGTAGCTGGGAGCTCACCCTAGTTTTAAAACTAGCAGTCAGTTTTGGCAACTTAAAATCCAAAGGAATTGCAGGCTGCCGTGTTAGCAGAGCTGTTCAAAGCCTTCCTCCTGTTTCTTTCCATAACCTTCGTTACAGTAAAACTTCCAGCTATAGTAGCTTTCTCCAACTAGCAGTTGTACAGCTTACAACAGGGAACAAAGTCCCTGTGGAGTTTTATGCCTGATGTAAACAAAGCAAATGAGACACTGTCCAAATGTAATCCCTTTCTTATCAGTGTGCTGCAAGCCAAAAAGGAATCAAATAATCCAGACAAGCAAGTGTTTTGCTCTAGAATGATCAGAGTCAAGATATATCAATGCTCAGGTATTAAAATTAAATCAAAGCCACATTATCAGAATAAATAACTTTAAGACTCATTTAAAATGCAGAGTGCAGTACAGTATTTTTCCAGCCAGAGCAATGGGGCAACGTGCCAGAGAGAAGATGGAGCCCTTATCATCTCGATGAAAAATGACACAGAAATGCTGTTTGAAAATCCACAGTTACTCAGGGAAGTGTTTTATGCAGAAATGAGTACAGCCAGCTGCTCCTTACCCCAATAAAATCAGCTCTGTTAGAGCAGAGAACACTGGAATCATTTTAGGAGGGTTTAAAGTTAAATATAAGAAAATAATACTGAAATAACTGTCAATTATTGGGAGTGATCTCCTTCCTCCTGGCAGTAGATAAAGGCCCTGCAGCACGACTTTACTCTGTGTCATGCAGCCGGAGGAGAGGCTGCCGTATGGGAGGTGAGGTGGGGTGGGAAGCAGCTGCAGTGCCAGGACCTCCCATGACATGAGCTGGCTCGGTTTGGTTTTACTACCAGAGGTACAGGGCTTTCTATGTGGGGAGAGCCTGACCCACACATCTCCTCAGAAGAGCCTAGCATTGGACGTGCTGTGGATAGATGGGTCTCTTCTCAGGCGGTGGTGGTTGAAGACAGTCGCTTACGTGCTTGGTATAGTTAGAGAAATGCTGAATGTTATTACAGAGGTAGATGGTTTTGGTATGAAAGGATGGTTCTTCATCAGGTTTTTGCTCTGGGATTAGAAGCAGAAGATGGTAGGTAATAGCATCTGGAAGCTTAGCAAGACTCTTTGGTTCCCCCCAGCCTCCTTCCAACTACCACTGCCAGTCTTTCAGTTTGTCTTGGGGTAACAGCTGATGGGGATCTTTGCAGCCCATTATTTTCTTCCCCATTGGTGCCCATCTAAGCACCAGCTCCCAGAGTCCATCTTTTCTTCCTCCAGGGTTACTCTCAGTGGATGACCAGGACATGAACTGTCACCAGTTCCTCCACCATACTTCGTTACCTTGCAATGATGAGCAGCTGCCAAGATATGCAGTTACTGAGATGCCTTAACCGTTACAAGAGTCCCAATCAAATTCAAGATCTGTCTTTATGTCTCAGTTAATTTCCTGACTAATTCTGTAGTTCTTTATTCACCTAGTTGGATCTTCAGTCTTAGCTATTATCAGGCATTGCAAAAATGATGACACTAGGTCCCTGAAGTGCCTGCAAATAAGAATGAATATGTGCGTGCACGCGACTTGTCAAGTAAATTTTTACAATATGAACATGTGTAGCACAGTCTAGGGGCTGATGTGTGTTCATTTGATCTTTCTTTATATTTCTTTACACATGTGGTATATCTGTAGCTGAAAATGTTAGATGATGTCAGCATCAGAAAGTGAAACTTATGCTCAGCGTTTTTTATTGTAGTCTGCTAACAATTGGGTGGTGGTTTTGATTTTTTCCAGAGAGTCCTTTCCAATGATTTTGGTGGCGAACAAAGTTGATCTAATGCATTTACGGAAAATTACAAGAGAACAGGGAAGAGAAATGGCAACAAAACATAATGTAAGTTTGTGGGATTGTTTAATTGGTTCTTGTAAGTCCCATGCCAGGCATTCAGAATTGAATTCTCTGCTCATTTGGAGCTGAATTAAAGCATTTTTCTTATAATCAAACATCTGCAATTACATTTTCAACTACTACAAAGTAGTAGCCATGCAGTTTCCTTTCAGGAGGGCCAGTTCATCGTTGAAACTAGAACCTCTGCTATGCACTGGGCTACAGCAAAGCTGTGGCCATCACGAAGCCACATGTACAAAGTGTCTGTAAATGGTGAGAAATGTGAAGTGTTCAAAATGAAGGAAGGAAGTGTACCCTCCCCGAGTGTAAAAGCGGAGTCAGACATTAGGTAGTATACCCAGGGGTCTGTATGAAGTGAGCTTGTTAAAGATAATGAAGTTACAGGGTTGTTATATCTATCTAAATCTGGCCCACCATCTTAGCTCTGCATTATTCATGCTGTAGTTTTGCCCAAGAAATTGGTCTTGGATGGGTATAGATGTCATGACACTTCACTAATGACTTCTGAATGCCAACAGCCCTGAATACCCAGAGGGAGGCAACAACTCCCATAGGAGAAACTGAATGGAAAAGTAAAGGCAAAGGAGACGAAGACCTCTGGGCAGCTGGCTGTGCCTAAACAGCAAACTGTGGCCTTTCTAAGCAAGCCATGATGGGAATTTGGCAGGGGAAGTTCGCTCCCTCCCCTCCCAAGGAAGCTCATTTCTGTAGGAGCCAGGACACCTTAAACTACAACACAACATGTTGCCCCCATCTGTATGCGTACACTTTGGAAAAGGCCGTGTACGAAAATACCTTATCAGAGGCAGTTTTATAAATCTGCCAGCGTGCTGGACAAGCACTCTAGGAGGCCCCATCTGGCTGTCAGACTTTGAAGGAGGAGATCATTTTACACTGAAGGGGAATTGTAGTCATAAAGTATTCATGCAGTAGTCCTAATAAAACGTGGCAAGCAAGAATTTTTGGCAAGTGCTCATCTTTCAACAACCTTCGGCTATTTTCATGTCTGCAAGCACAACTTAGGGGGAGAGAACATCTGACGACATGAAGTCTATGATTATTCTTCCCCAAACCCAGAGCTCTGATAGCAGCTGCTTTGCCTGGTGCTTATTCCAGACCTTTTGTAAGCGCTTGCTGACCTTGCAGGGAGCGTGAAGGTGTTGATAGCAGTGTCATGGCAACACTTTGTTTACCTGTATTTCCCTGGTCTCTTAGGCACCCAATTTCTCCAGCTTTTAGGGTTTTTCATTTTGAAACTGGTTTGCTACCGACACGTAGGCTGTTACTAATCTCTTTCGTGATACACTTCTCTCCTCCAGATTCCATATATAGAAACGAGCGCCAAGGACCCACCTCTAAACGTTGACAAGGCCTTCCATGATCTTGTGAGGGTAATAAGGTAAGATGCAAACTCTTCACCTGCTCACTGCCAGTGGATGGGACATGCTGGAGTCTTGGCCTGGAGAGCCATGAGGCAACTTTTGGGGAGCAAGGACGAGATGGTTTGGTTAGGGGTGGGAGATTTCTGGGGTCTATTAAACTTTCTTGTCCTGTATCTGCACAGGGAGGTTACTAGCACTTAATTACCCTTGCAGGAGTTGAGAACTAGCTGTGACCACGGTGAAAATGTATTACTCAATGAACAGTGCAAAGCCTACTATAATGACCACCTTTAAAAGGCCGGCATTAAAAGCTCTGGACCAGTAATTTGGGTTTTCATAGCTTTATCTTCTCAGGGTCTCACATTGCTAGAGGTTAAAAAGGACTGGGAAAAAAAATCTACAAAATTCTAATGTTGTAGATGACTTCTAACATTTTCTGCTCGTTACATGGAAAAAATTAAGCCACTTTGTATGAGAAACAGCATGACCTAATGGCTAAGCCACAGGTTTCCTCCTCAGACTGCAGAGGTCTGTTCCCAGTTTTGGCATGAGCTGCCTTTGCTCACTTTGGCAAACGCCTGCTCTCCGGGCGAACCCCTGCACTGGCTGCCAGCGGGGAGGGACTGCCTTCCAAAATCCCGTCTGCCTCGCAGGAAAAGAGCTGCACACACATTTCAACATCTCGGCTGATAACCTCAAATCTCTCTGAGAAAATTCATTTTTCTGGCACTGGTTGTCTGTGAGATTTTCTGGGCCCTTATTTTTCATGTTTTGGGAGGGTGCTGAGCTGAAATCATGCTCCTCCCTGCCATGCAAAGTGCCTCTCTCGGCAATGAAACCATGCGGCATTTATTCACAGCATATCTGTACTTGTGAATATCTTAGCGCAGCCTCGAGTCAGCCTCCATCAAAAGCAGATGGTACTGCCCACTCTTCCCACATGTCTCAAAAGCAGGGGGCAGAAAGTCTTTGGAGAACTACAGAGCTGAGTTGGAAATGTCCCAAGCTATTTCTCAACTGTTCTGTAACTCAGCATTAGCTGGCTAGATATTACTTTTGTGTTACAGCAAGCTCTTACCACCGTCTATTCTACCCTGGGGGGGGGGGGAAATACATAGCCAAAATAAGATGGTGAGGCTTTCTTTGCTTTCTTTACATGATACAACTCCAGACAGGCTGGAAGGAGCATTGTAATGAGACATCACTGAATGCAAGCCCTGAAAATGCACTCTGTAAATTCAAAAATAGGTGATGCACCTGAGCTCCCCAAGTAGTCGCCATGAAAGTCATTGCCATCCAGGTGAAACCTTCCATGGCGTCAAGAGCACCAGAGGTGTTCACAAGAGCTGGAACTTGCGTTAAGTCAGAGGGCAGAAAGATGCCATTATAGCTGGTCATCTGCCACAACACAGCTTTGCTTGGTCTTCAGATGTTGCAAACTGTCCACAGCTATAGGATGGCATCACCCACCAAGTGTTGCTTTCCTTTTTTTAAGTGAGCTTTACCAAATTAAATGTAAATTTACAGCTCCCTAATAACTGTGTTATTCCTGGAGTGCTCTGCAAACGTAGAGGCTTCTCAGAGCCCGTGTGAGTTTGCACTCATTCAGGGCTGGCACTGTTTGTGCTCCTTGCACTTGGCTGATTCCCAGTTTATTTAGCTTCATGTGCAAAACTGTTGTCTGAAAGTAATCCAGAGAGGAGTGAGGTGATTGAGTCCACCCGCTAGATCTTTTAAATTCCCTGATACCCCTTGTATGCTGCAGCAGTGCATACATAGGGACTGTCACAGCAGAAATCTTGAGCGAGCACAGGACGTGGTTTTCTGAATCTCTAAAACAGTTCCAGAACACTCTGAACAGCTTGTGGCTGATTAGTGTTTATTCAAATTAACTTTAAAGTATTTTTTCATTTCAGCTTTCTAGTTTTAAGCTTTAAAGTTTTATGTTTTTCATGCCTCCAGCCTTCATACTCGCTGAAAAAAAAAATCTTATTAGTCAAAGCTGAGTCTTTCAGGTGGTTGCAAGCATTTGGGAGCTGAGGCTGTAAGAAAAACACCAAATGAAGCCATAACAATTTGTCCCCTGGCTATGTCTCATCCTGCTCTGGCTAACTTGCTGTAAACGCTCAGTTTAGTGCCTGGCATATGGCATGGCAAAGAAGCTGGGTTTGAACTGTTCAAACCCAGGTTGGTTATTTAGACATTGTTTGAATCTACGGAAGCTGCTGGTGTTCGGATGGTTTATCTTGCAATAAAATCTAAGGTCTACGGTCTGCCTGTCGGGTGTTTGAACTACAAAGCTGCCTTCTGTTGAATCTGCACCGCTGAGCTAGCTGAGTGGCTGCTGCAGACAGACACAGTTGCAGACAGGCGTTTGGGCAGTGCCTCATCGTGATGCAAAGGGAGAAGCCCTCCCTCCACATAACCTTTCAGAGGTTGTTCACAACCCGCCTGATGGGGCGCAGCGCAGGGGGCTCTCAGCTGCGTGTTTGACAGCAGTGACTTCAGGCAGCCAGGGACATCTTTCTGGGGTCAGCCTGCTCTCTGCGCTCTGGTGCTCTTCACACCTTCCAGGGAAGGCCAGAGCCCCATTGGCAGCAAACTCTGTTTTTTCATTATTATTTTATCCCTCCATAACCAAGTCCATGGCAGTGCAGTTGGCTAAGGGCAGTGCCGGCTGGAAGCCAGTCTTCCTGGGATGGTTTATTTCTTTGTGCACTCTGTCTCTCTTTTGCCCTCCTCCCTCATGAGCATTAGCAGCCGTGTGATGGATGACGTTGCATTGCTCAGAGCATCCCCGTTTTCCAGAGCAGCCCCTTGGCAGGGGAGGACACAGCAGGTCACCCAGGGCAACCAGAGGCATAGTGCCCTGGCAGGACGTGCATCCCTGCCGTTCACCTTAATGTTTGCTTATGGCTTCTTCCCTCCTTCCTTGTGATCACTGGCGCAGAATCTAGTTGGAGGCCTGTAACTAGCGGTTGTCCCCAGGGGTCAGTACTGGGTCTGGTCTTGTTTAACATCTTCATCAATGACCTGGGTGTAGGTATAGAGTCCACCCTCAGCAAGTTTACTGATGATACGAAGTTGGGAGGAGTGGCTGACACACCAGAAGGCTGTGCAGTCAGACTTGGACATGCTGAAGAGCTTGGTGGAAAGGAACCTGATGAGGTTCAACAAGAGCAAGTGCAGAGTCCTCCACCTGGGGAGGAATAACCACATGCACCAGTACAGGTTTGGGGATGACCTGCTGGAGAGGAGCTCTGTGGAAAAGGACCTGGGTGTGCTGGTGGACAGCAGGCTGGCCATGAGCCAGCAGTGTGCC